AAAAAAATTTGATGAATATGAGAATTTGGCACAAAATTTAAGTGAAAAAATTATGGACAATTATGAAGACTTTGGTAAAAGAAAACAAAAAAGAAGTGAAAATCAAACTATTTTAAGCGGGAGAAAAAAGCTTGAAGTTGATACATTCTTTATTATTATMGATAAATTGATTTATGAACTTGATAGAAGACTTAATGCTTATAGTCTGTTTTACTCTCAATTTAAATTTTTGGTGAACTTTAAAACTGACATTGAACCAGATATTGAATCATTAAATAATTGTATTAAGTTTTATAATGTCGACCTTGATGATAACTTAAAAACAGAAATAAATCATTTTTATCAATACATCAAAACGATTTCCTCAGATATTGATAATTATTGTAGTGCTATAGCGAAACTTCTCTATGAGCGAAACTTATTGATGATTTTCCTAATGTATATATTGCATTGAGGTTATATTTGACAATACCTTTAACAAATTATGAGGCAGAACGATCATTTTCAAAATTAGCTCTAATTAAAAATCGAYTTAGGTCCACTCAAGTGGAAAAGAGGTTAAATGTATTAACCATAATGTCAATTGAAAATGACATATGCAAAAACCTTTCCTTTGATGATGTTTTGGACACCTTCGCAACTAGCAAATCCAGAAAAATGAATTTTACATAATCTTCTAATTGTATAGTTATTTGTAATTTTTGTATTATTACCTTTTTATATATTAACATTTTAATTAAATTATATTTTTAATAAATAAATAATTTAATATAAATTTACTTTTTAAGGGAAAATGTTTTTTTGTTGTTGTTGAATTACTAAATATTAATAAGTATATGAGTATAAAAATGTATTTTTAAAATTAGGGCCCCTAAAAATATGTTAGTCCAGGACCACTCATTTTATTAATCCGGTTCTGCGTCTCACATACCATCTACACAACTACCACCAACTGTTCGCGCACAATATCAACATTTAATATTGGCCGATCCTCAATTTGACACTCCGTCTCGAATCGACATGTTGCTTGGAGGTGATTTATATCTGTTTCTGATCCGTTCTGAGTCAAAAGTAAAACACGTGATCGGTTTTCCATCCGCCATGGATAGTCATTTGGGTTGGATTATAATGGGATTAGTGAACCCTCTCAGAGGTGTTTCCGTCCCACGTATATCGTTGTTGCTCACATCTAATCCGTCGATAGACACTTTACTTCATCGTTTCTGGTCTATTGAAGAAMCCGTTGYACCCACCGTTCCTACCACAGAAGATGAACTATGTGAGCGGTGGTTTACCAAAACTACGTCACGAGACGCGAATGGTCGTTTTTGTGTCACATTACCGTTTAGACACCACGTTYTCACTAAAGATAATGGTACTCAGATATCCATGTCAACGTCCAGGTTTAATTCGTCATCATATCAACTCGGAGAATCTCGATCCTTAGCTTTGAAACGTCTACTCAATTAAGAATATCGCCTGCAAAAGGACGATCAATTGTACGAGTCGTATCGTTCCTTCATGAATGATTATCTGTCGTTAGGTCACATGAAACTTGAAACCCGCCCTGGTAAGTATTATATACCACACCACGCGGTAGTGAAACGGGATGGCGACACATCAAAATKACGGGTCGTCTTCGACGCCTCGGCGAAGTCATCGTCGGGTGTTTCCCTTAACGATATTCTTTGCGTCGGTCCTAAGTTACAAAATGACATTAGTGAACTCCTACTTACATGCCGGTTATACAAATATATTTTCATCGTCGACATTGTTAAAATGTACCGTCAGATCAAGGTCCGAGACGAAGACTGCGTGTTTCAGCATATCCTATGGCGACATTCTGATTAGGAAATCCAKGAGTACGAATTATTGACGGTCACCTATGGGTTGAGTTCTGCCCCGTTCCTGGCAATACGTGTCTTACACGCTTTGGACGCCTACGCGGAACCACTCTTTTTTGCTGCCAAGGGCGTCTTAACTAATCATACCTACGTCGACGACATTGTGGTAGGACGGAATACGGAAGCGGAATTAAGTCAGGTGCAGAATCACATATTAGGACTACTTCGATCAGCAGGTTGTAGGCTAAAGAAGTGGTGCAGCAACAGCGCGAAGATCTTGGAGTGTATCCCGCCTGATGACCGAGTTAATTGTCCTTCCTTTGAACCTAAAGATGAGCCAACATTGAAGGTACTCGGCCTACATTGGGACCCCGCTACCGACGCCTTCGGATACCACACACACGTTAAAGACACGCCTAATACAAAACGAGGAGTATTGTCTGCCATTGCTAGATTGTTCGASCCCATTGGTGCTCTCGGTCCGATGTTGTTGTGGGCAAAATCATTCATGCAACAACTTTGGCAGACGCAGTTAGAGTGGGACACTCCACTTCCCCCCACATCTACGTATTGCGTGGCGTCAATTTTTATCAG